GACAAAGCGCTCGCATCGACGTCGAAAGAGTGGCATTCCACAGACAAAGCGTTTCTGTCGATTCATGTGTCAAGTATCTTTGGAAAATAAATGTTGCTTATAAAAACATCTTCGGAATGGATCAGTCAAGCTTTAGAAAGGTACAAATTATTTTTCCCTTTCCATCCATGACGTCAGTTTCACCACTAGATAGTTCTTTTTAGAGCTTTATACAGCTGTTCAATATTTTACAACGGGACATACCGGCAGTCCAGTCTCTCCATCGGGGCCAGGTTCACCTTCTTTTCCTTGGGGACCCTAGAAGAAAGACGAAAAAAAATCACAAGATGAAAACACTGCATGCCATAAAAAATCATGCACTTGCTAATAAAGGCAATGAGCACGTATGACAGAACGCTCTACCAAACCCGTATTTATCTTCAGAGATTGCTGTTTGTAACCAGAAAACGCCATGCCCCTAAATAATAATTTTCTAATCCGAAATGTTTTCAGGGTTAACGTCTTGGAAGTGGCAGAGGCTTCATAGGGAGGTGGCATGTTAAAACAATGCTCCTAAAAAGAAAAGACTGAAAAGATATAAAGGCTTTATTGAGTATTTACAGTAGGTAGTCACGACATTATTCTTGTGGCATCAGTATGGTACATGTTCGGAACGCTAGAACGAACACTTATGTTTGCATAATTAGCATGTCAACCTACTTGGTTCCCAAAATACATGTCAAAAACACACGGCGTAAAAGAGACGAATAGTCAACACTGCATCCCCACATAGCATATTAATTGAATTGTCCCTTTTTAATTCACTCACTTGAGATCCTCTTGGTCCCATTGGTCCAGACAGTCCTTTGGGCCCAGCATCACCCTACCGTGATATTATACATTATAAAATAACTGAGCTACTAGGCGCGCGCTCATTGGTCGATAGGGGAATTTAAATGAGAGTAAGTAAACACAGTTGTGACGTTTAAGATTCGCGCGTAGTTTTGAGAAATATTTTATAAATCCAATAGAGAAATTTTTCTATGTTTACATAGCGTCATATAAACACTTGGGGAGTTGGGAGAATTCGCGAAAGTTATGCAAACGTTCTCATGTTAAGAAGAGGTTATGTAAACACGGAAAAAGCACTCTATTGCTGAAACAGTACGAATCTACTAGCGTTCTATTATGAATGAATTGTAGAACGAAATATAATACATGCAGGCTTGGGAACGCAGCACCAAATATCATTCATACAGGGAATCTAGATCATAGTAACTATCAATTGCCCTCACATATTTCGGGGCATTTTGCATGCCATGTGAACTCATAACTGCTCATGGTGTTATGACACACACAAAAAACACCACTCACTTAATTTCGTAATGATTGAAAAAACTTCAAGTCTCCATCAAATTCATAAAAAGTATGCGAAATTGTAGCAAGACAAGCCTATGTGCGAGCAATTATCAAGAACTCTTTTGAGTCATCGCGTACAGAAAATGTCAGGTATAGCTATGCTTTCATTATTTTATAGAAGGATGCCAGTTAATCAATTATGACTGTACAATAAAAATGCTACTTACAGGTTGGCCTTGTTCTCCGGGAGTTCCAGCATTTCCTTGAAAGCCCTAAAAAGCAAATCAGAGTGGGAAATTCACTACATGTCCTTACCTGAACTTAGAGAAGTTCACAGACAGTAGAATTAGTGGATTATAAGATGACATACCAACAGACATATTACAGCTAAGCACATATAAACATGAAAATTGTAAGGATTCGACAAGCAGCTTCATTATTTTTTGACAAATTTTGTTTCTCCATCCACGTAAAAACTGATGGTCTAAAAGATTCTCCTAAAAACCAAGTAGTAAATTGTACAAGATTTCACAAAAGGAAATTCTGTCCACTTTACTTTTTGTAGTCTCGTTCACGCCATAAAGATAAGTTAACCGGCCNCAGTTGTGACGTTTAAGATTCGCGCGTAGTTTTGAGAAATATTTTATAAATCCAATAGAGAAATTTTTCTCTGTTTACATAGCGTCATATAAACACTTGGGGAGTTAGGAGAATTCGCGAAAGTTATGCAAACGTTCTCGTGTTAAGAAGAGGTTATGTAAACACGGAAAAAGCACTCTATTGCTGAAACAGTATGAATCTACTAGCGTTCTATTATGAATGAATTGTAGAACGAAATATAATACATGCAGGCTTGGGAATGCAGCACCAAATATCATTCATACAGGGAATCTAGATCATAGTAACTATCAACTGCCCTAACATATTTCAGGGCATTTTGCATGCCACGTGAACTCGTAACTGCTCATGGTGTTATGACACACACACAAAACACCACTCACGTAATTTCGTAATGATTGAAAAAACTTCAAGTCTCCATCAAATTCATAAAAAGTATGCGAAATTGTAGCAAGACAAGCCTATGTGCGAGCAATTATCAAGAACTCTTTTGAGTCATCGCGTACAGAAAATGTCAGGTATAGCTATGCTTTCATTATTTTATAGAAGGATGCCAGTTAATCAATTATGACTGTACAATAAAAATGCTACTTACAGGTTGGCCTTGTTCTCCGGGAGTTCCAGCATTTCCTTGAAAGCCCTAAAAAGCAAATCAGAGTGGGAAATTCACTACATGTCCTTACCTGAACTTAGAGAAGTTCACAGACAGTAGAATTAGTGGATTATAAGATGACATACCAACAGACATATTACAGCTAAGCACATATAAACATGAAAATTGTAAGGATTCGACAAGCAGCTTCATTATTTTTTGACAAATTTTGTTTCTCCATCCACGTAAAAACTGATGGTCTAAAAGATTCTCCTAAAAACCAAGTAGTAAATTGTACAAGATTTCACAAAAGGAAATTCTGTCCAGAAGATGCCACATTAAATTAACTTTTAACAGCTACGTAGATATATATACAGTAGAGACTACCAACAACTGTAACAACAAACTAGCAAGTACTATAAGCCAGTGCTAAATTTATAAGAGGTAGAAATTCTTAGTGCAAGCGAGTTTCAGTCAGTTGTTTTTATTATTATCCCTAGTATAATAATTATTTATCACTTTTCTTACTATTGTAAACTGTACACAGAAAGCAAAATCATTGCAGAGTCATAAAACTAAACAATACTCACCCTAGCGCCAGGACCACCCCTCTCGCCTTTTCCACCCACTCCGCCCTGTTAAAGAAATGTTTTTTGAGCGATGACTCATCTGTTGGTGGTCAATAATAAGTAATATTTTGTGGAGGGTTCAACAAACCCTGCTGTGTCTCACCCTATGCTACCAGCGACCTCCAATTAACAGACATGTTAATAGAGGAATTGTAAGTGGATGCTCCACCATGACCAATGTAGGAAGACCTTCAACTGTACAGTGAGTGTCAAATAAAGGAAAACTGGCAAACCTTATCTCCTCTGGCACCTCGTGGTCCTCTTCTTCCAGTTCTGCCAGTGCTGCCCTGTAAGAAACACACCTCACCTGATTACTGCTAATCAATATGCAGCTATATGGAATTTGATAATAAATTCTGATTCAATCTTACGACTTGCTCGTGATTTCATTTCTTTTTCCATCACTACATAGCAGTATAACACACCACATCATGAATATATTTTATTTAAACATGGAGGTATGAAGTTTTTACAGTTCTAACATTTTAAAAGAACAGCTTAATATGTATTTTCCATGTTAAAAATTGAATCGTTAACTAAAAAATGAAAGATGCTAGACATCAGCAACAGCAGCAACAACAACAACAAAAACAATTATATCATCTTAACTGTTACTATCACTAAAACTTCCAGTTGTTCTTCTGCAAGCATAATGAGATGTTTAAATTCATGACAAAAAGTACAAATATGGTTGAAAAAGTGAAAATATCATAGCCTAGGGTTATTATTTCTTTTGCCTTTTTCCATTGTTAAACACTTTACAACAATAAAGTCTGTAAATAACCATTTAATTACGGGGGTTTAGATTTCCAAGAAAGCCAGCTCACAAGTTTATCATTTATCAAATGCAACAGTTAAAAAAATTAACACCAACTAAGGAAGTATAGCTCACCTTTTCACCTTTATTCCCTTGTAAGCCGGGTAAGCCTTGGGTTCCCATGACCCCCTGCAGGTTACAAATATAAAGTAGTTGTAATGTTAGCAAATAGCTCTCTTAAGTTTCACTGCACATGGCTTATATACTGAAGAGTGGCAAAATCAATGGCTAAGGGACTGAATAACCAGCTAACTTATTGACTGACTGACTGACTGACCGACTGACTGACTGACTGACTTGCTGACTGGCTGATTGGTTGGTCAATGACTGACTGACTGACTGACCTTGACTGACTGACTGACTCACTGACTCACTGACTGACCAACCGACCGACCGACTGACCGACTGACGGATAGTTTGCTTGATTGATTGATTGATTGATTGATTGATCAATCGATTGACAGATTGATTGATTTCTGTAAATGCAATCTTACTGCACAAAGTTACACAAAATAAAAGCTACTGAAATTCACTTTTATAATTTAAGTTGTGACATTTGGGGTCCAGAATTTTTGAGAATTAGTCTGGACATATTTATCAGTTGGTCAAGTGAATGGGATTGTTTGGGGATTTTTCAAACCGACAACTGCACGTCAAGAAGGCAGACATAGAATGGGTGTCCTCCACCATGCACACTTCTTACCTTGGGTCCAACAGGACCTGATGCGCCAGGAGGGCCCTGTATTCCTATTTCACCCTGATGTTGCAAAAAAAAAAATGACACAATGAAACTTTGAACTTGTTAAATGTATCCTAATAATCTTTTTGACTGTGAGTTCAATTTTATTTAACACAGGGCAGCACATGTAACACTTTTCTAATTACCTTCACTATGAATACTGTAAGTTTCTCAGATACTTCAAACAAAAAAATATAAGAAATTGTTTACACTTCGATGAAAATGGTCTGTCACAATCAAAGAACATGATATTTTATCAAAACCTTTAAAAGCAACTCACAGGAGCTCCTTGAGCACCAGGTACTCCACTATCTCCAGGGATGCCCGCAGGACCCTGCCATGGACAGAATTTGGGAGTGACTTGTCAGAAGGCTTACGGTATTAAATATATCAGACATGGTTCAAATGCTTTACAAGGCTATAGATGTAGAGAATAGTATGCAAACTTGAATACCACCTGCAATAAAAGAGTTCAACCAGATGCAACTTGCTCATGTGTGATGATTTGCAGCTCCAGTGCTGCAATTGAACCCGAGATGAACTTATACTCGAAATAGTAACTGAATCAAGAGGAGTACTTAAGGAGTAATCAGGTGATTGCAAGATCTAAACTCAACAAGCATGCTGTGTGAGCCTGATTGCAAGATCTAAAGTCAACAAGCATGCTGTGTGAGCCTAATTTGAAATTATGAACATGATTACCTGAACTGCTCCTATAGCAATAGCATCAAAAGCAGATTTTCAGATCAGAAGCATCAGTAGTATTTGCTATCATGTTTTAATTGAACAGCAGGAAGCCAGTAAAACACACATTAGGTAATTATAAGTGATGGGCAAATGGCATACATGTAGGCATCCAATTACAGGCATACTTACCAAAGTTGTACCTGTAATTGGACACCCATGTGATGTGCACTAATTATGCAATGAAAAGGCATGCTGAGAACCAACCACAATAAATAAATTTGTTACGGGCATGATTAATTACTGAATAATTCCAAATATAAATTTCTAATTTAAATTGCAAGAGCAAGATGTTATGTTGTTTCACCTTATCTCCTGGTGCACCTGCAAAGCCTTTGGAGCCAGTGGACCCTCTTTCACCCTGTTGAACACACAACATATATTAGATTAAACACCTCCAAAGAACTACTGGAAAATCAAACATTTGCTTTGGTTGACATCTAAAAGATCTATTCAGACCTCATACTGGTACATATGTACAGAACCACAAACTTGGCCCCATTTAATTTTCCCTTAGTAGTTTTCGTTTCGATTGAGAAGATAAGACAAACACTCAAGAAAGCGTTTGATCACATTTCAAACATCTCAAAGTTTTGTCAAAAACACTCCTCTACGCATCGTATTTTCAACTTTTCTCAGTGTTTGGAAATGTGATCAAACACGGCCTTTTGCGTTTGATAAATAACTTTAATATTTTTTTCTTGCTTTTCTGGTAACAGCTCCTCATGGGAATTAACACACATACAAAGAAATCTTTAAGCTGGAAAAGTTTCCATTCTTAGCAGTCTCAATTACTGTCTTAAATAGAGCTGAGTTGATTGAACTTTGTTGAAGGCAGTCTCTAATTGTATACAAAATGCCTAAGCACAACACTCACAGCCTCGCCTTTCTGTCCCTTTCTTCCCTCTGGTCCAGTTGTACCCTGTACAAAGTGATAGAAACAGATAAGTACATGAATGTGTCGTAAGTAATACATATAACTAACCATAATCCCACCAAAGCTGGAAAAATTCAACTCATGTATTGAGTTAAAAAAAAATGTTTATAACTTGAGCAAGATACATCGCCAAGGTAACCTTTCCAATAACTAATATTTTGGCCATTCAGTCCTCTGTGTAAACCACCTAAGGTAAAGTCTGTATACGAGCCAAGTGGCCCACCAGGCTGGAGTTTATATTATCCCGGTTTCCCTAGCATGAAG